TTCATTCTTCTCAGTTTTGATCACTTGCCACCTGTGGGCACTGATATAAATGACAATACTATTGTGTTTGAAGAATGAGAGGCTAGGAGTTTGTTCGGAAGTGTGAATATAAGGAGGGAGTGGTCCAGACATTATAAAATCAAAATTCTTACAAATGTTTTCAGCGCAGCTCAGCTTTGTTTGCACATATACTATTATCAACATGTTTTTGCTGAACCACATTGTTTCTTCTTTGGAGAAGCTTAGATATTATTATTGTCCCTCTGTTTCTTATGAAATACTTTAACATGTTTTGAAAAGGCTGCTAACATACACCAAACATATGTCGTGTTGCCAAAGTTCTGCCACACCAATGACTCATTTACTATTCGACATAGCCTAAAGACATGTGGTACTCGCGATCTTTATTCATTTTCTGCCAACATGACAAGGAAAGAACTGGCAAATGGTTTTCCTTAATCAACGGGGGATAATCTAATTTACACTGCCCTTGCAAAATACAAATCAAAGTTTGTTCAGTATGGTGTCTGGCCTCTTTGAGCTTGAATTACTGAAACAAAACAACTGTTCATTGACTGAATTAATGTGCTTATGGTTGTCTGAAGAAAACCCTGTCATTCCTTGTGAAGTGCAGCTTTCAATTTCTGACGAGTTTACAAGGAGTGCGGCCTGTTTCTTATCTTTCAGTCAAGGCCATTTTACAGATTATGTTCTGTTTGGTTAAGGTTTATTGATCTTTTAGGCCTGTCCAGAAAAATGATTTGATGAGTTTGGAAGGATTTTTCACTGATCGTAGTCTTTTGTGGTCACGCGTTGTCTTGTTACCACATTCTATCATCCGTGCTATGTAGTGCTGTCACCGTGACGAAGAATTTCATCACTGTACCGTCGTCCTTTAAGGTTGCTTTGAAAAGTAACCAAATGTGTACGATAGAGACCAGAGATTCCATCCCATACCATCACATTTCAGCCACCGATTCGGGCCTTTTGGGGGACGTTGGATTTGTGAAATCTCTATCCTCTTCTTTTAAATACCTTTTCTCTTCCATCAATGCGACGAATTAAAAACGTTAAGAATTGCTGAAAAACACTTTAAAAACGTCTTTAGTTTCATCGCCAATGATGTTGTGCCAAAATTTCTAATAATGGTGTTTTAAGACAGTACGAAGTATCTGGAAGTCTCTGCACTTAGTTGGAAAGGGTTTTGACATGGGTGTTGACAATAACCCAATTCTGATGTCGAGTTGTCGCCTTTGGTTGGCCACGTCTAGGTTTGTCTTGGACAGTTCTAGTGGTGTTAAAACGTTTGTTCAAGTGTTAGATGGTTCTTCTGCACACTTTTACGTGTCATGCAACAGCAGAAAGCACAATAAAAAAAAAAACTTATCACACTCACAGCCCCTTTTTTCTGAATCTATCAGTGTTTTATTTCGAAAACCGGTGAAAAAAACTACACCATTCGTCTACATGTTTCAAAGTAAATTTTGTGTGTTAGAAGCGTTGATTTCAACGTAGACCGAGAGAAATCAATACCAACACGTTGTCCACGTACTACTTCCGCTTTATGATTTCTTTCGTCTGCTCTTATACAAGAAGTCTCGTACGTCGTAAGTCACACAAGTCATACTTTTAATTTTTATTGCAATTCTTATGCTGAACAGAAAATTCTCGGAATATAATGGTGTGACAGAACTTTTGCAAAGCATCAAACCTGTTCAGGACGCTCAATATACTGACAAGAGAAAATTGTTGAAGACGGCATTTTAGGATATCTTTACAACATCTACAGACACTTAAACAAACTAAAACATACTGCCAAATTTTGTTCGTCAAATTTTCTTCATCCAACTTTTACGGTGCTCGCAACTGCATATGGGCATATGAGGGCGAGGTCACATTGAACATTTTCAGCTGGTAGGAAGTTTTGAATTTTGCACGTGTTGCGCCGAAGCCTACTCTTATTGATTTTGGACTACTAATTGGGATCTTTAACGTGCACAACTTGCACACGGGACTTCTGAGATTTTTCGCCCTTGTCCGAGATGTCTAGGTGTAGATCGCTTTCTGGATTTGAACACAGGACCAACCGAATAAGAGGCGAACACCTTAACCTCTAGGCCACGACAGCCCCCCCCCCACCCTTCCCCTCAGCCTTTACTATTCTCCATCAAGACATCATTTTAAAGAATCTAGAAAACGTGGGTTGTTAACGTACGTTTAACATCATAGATAGGGACTTTCTGCAGTTTTTCTACTGTTACTCCTTGGCTCTTTCTTACTGCTGTCTTTCAACCACATCCCTGATCTTATGGTAGGAAAGATCTACACCTAGCCTTCTCGGACAAGGGCGAAAAATGCCACAAAAGAAGAATTATTCCTCGCAAGGCTAAAGCAAGAGCCAACGTTGTAGGTCCGTCCATAACAAACTTTTGGCACAAACAAATGTTTGATAAAAAAAAAAAATTGAGCGGTTAGGGAAAACGTTACATTGTCAAAAAATGTTGAATAAAAATGTTTGACAAACAAATCTGAGCGTGTAAGGGGAACTTCAGACCACAGTGGGCTACAAAAATAAACCAACAAACGTATGTGTTGACAAGGAAGAGAACTATGCAAATAAACGTAATGCCTTTTTCTCTCAATGTGACAAAGGCAGTCAGTGTGACTTGCCATGTGTGAACACCGACACAAATGAAAATAATGTTGTTGTTGTTGAAGAACGCGAGGTTACATGTGTGTTTGGACGTGTGAATGTGAGAAAGGCATGTGGCCCAAACGGTGTGCAACCCAAAATTGTAAAAAATGTGTTCAGCACAACTTATTTCTATATTTTACACCTATATTATCAACCAGTATTTGCTGAAACATGCTATTCAAACTATTTGGAAATGTTCTGAAATCGAACCCCTTCCAAAGAAAGAAAACAATTACAGAAATGAAAGACCTAAGACCAATAGCATTAACACCCGTAGTTATAAACTGTCTAGAACAAATTGTGCTAAAAAGACTACGACTACGACATACATAGAACTCATCCAAGACCCTCTACAATTCGCATATCGTCACGGGAGAAGTGTGGAAGACGCCATTCTACTATTTCTTGACAATATATAGACACTTAGACAAGTCAAAAACATACTGTAGGATCCAGTTTGTTGATTTTTCGTCAGCCTTTAATACTATCCAGCCAGAGCTATCCTTTTAAAGAAATAAGAAAATAAAGGTGTTAACGTCAATTTGATATCATGGACAGGCAGTTTTCTTACCAACCGAACCTAGCATGTAAAATTAAAACATTCGTCATCGACGTACATCACAACAAATCAAGGCCCCCCCCAAGGATGTGTTTTGTCACCAGTTGTATTCACACTGTACAAGAACGATTGCCAGATAGACAACAGTATAATCAGGTTGATAAAATTTGCGGATGATTGAACAATAATTGGGCTAATTCAGGCTGACCACAACGAAACCGCTTACCGAAATTTTGTACTTAACTTTTCAGAATGTTGTGAAAATCATAAGCTGGTTTTAAATGGGACAAAAAACCCCCAAAGAACTTGTTATTGACTTTAAAAAAAAAGAAACTGCCTCTGCAGCCACTCAAAATTAAATGTGGAAACGTTGACCAAGTGTCAGATTATAAGTATGTGGGTGTTACAAAAGAAAACAAAATCAACTGGCGTGTCCACATTTCTCTCCTGCACAAAAAAGTGAACAAAAGACTGTTTTTTCTAAGGAAGCTCATGTACTTTAAAGTTGATAAAACTTTGATGTCCATTCTATCATTCAATCATAGAAAGTATGATCAATTTTTTTTGTATAGCAGCATGGGCTGGAAACACAAGACAACAAAATAAAAAATGATTAAATCAATTAATTCGGAAAGCATGTAAAATTTCAAAATCTACATTCCCCTACTTGTATGAATTGTACATAACAGCTTGCACTAAAATAAATAATTCCATCTTTTTTTTACAACAAACATCCCCTGTTCCCTCAAATAGAAACATCAACCAGAAGTAAAAGACCTAGGCTTCTGATCTCTATCAAAGAAAGATACAGAAGGTCAATTTTGCCATCATCCATCAACATTCTTCCATCTTAACCATCTTGCTATAAGTATTCATATGACCTTAGAGTATGCATCAGAATAACATTGAGCTGCTTAAGATTATTATGGTTTATATTGCTGCTCATTTATATAATGCATGTGATTGTAAACCAACATGTGCGTGTGTGTGTGTTTGTGTGTGTGTATGTGTGGGTGTGTGTGCATGTGTATGAGTGTGTGTGTGTGTGTGTATGAGTGTGTGTGTGTGTGTGTGTGTGTGTGTGTGTGGGTCTGTGTCTGGGCAATAAAGATGTATCTTACAAGGGTACAGATGCAACAGTCAGTTATTTGCTCACCGTTGGTAGCATCAGCTCAACTGCTTCGTGAGCACACACCTGTCAGAGTTATGGAATTATTGCAACAGACTTGGTCTCAATGAGCATTTGTTGGAGCCCCAAGTTCTTGAGAGACGATGTACCATGGTCAGATCAGTTTGTGGGATGGAAATGGTGGAGGGAGGGGAGTATAGAGAGTGTTTCCTGGTTATTGTTTTTGTTTTGTTCTGTTGTTTTTCTTCTGGACATAGTTCGCAAACGGGGCGAGATATGTACTTTCCGCTTGATGGCATCTCAGGGTGTATCAGAATATTCTGGCAAATTCTAATGTCTCAGCACAACACATAACACATGACGACACAGGACGTGGCGGAAAGCAACCATCTACAAG